AGAGAGAGAGAGAGAGAGAGAGAGAGAGAGAGAGGTAGTTTGAGGAATCTGGGTCAACAGCTTGCAGCACTGCCTGCAGGGCGTCACCAGCTCCTCTGCTTCACAAAAGGAGAACGCAGCAGTAGAACCACACGCAATTTCCAAACCACTTCACCTGGAAGCCGGTTATTTTGGGCTTCGGGTCACTGGCAGGGTACTGCTGAATTCAACGGTATGCTTGGTTTACCAGGAAACGCTTAGATGTGTTATTTCATTCAGAGTGATCATTTCGCTACATTTAAAAGTGAGTTAGATCCATTATCTCCTCATTGGCTCCCCAAAACGTCAACAAAAAGTACTTTGTATTCACACACCTTGAAAACCTTTTTGCATCTTGCCACGACAACTCCAAACTTCAGCGTAAGACTCTGTGAGATAGATGAACACGAGGGATTTATCAACAGCGAAGCAGAACGGTTTTGATGTTTTCTTTGAATCTGAAAAGTGTGGCCTGGCTTCAGATTTGTACCTCACTCAGAACAACCTGTTGCATATCTAGAGAACCACATTTCTGCCCGTCCTTCTCTGCAAAATAACAATGCACAGGCACTATATAAAAAAGCATCTGAACACATTTTCTATTGCTTTTCACTATACATAACTCAACAGGATCCTGCTGAGAAAACAGAGAATATTTTACTTGCTTTGTGCAGGAATACACTGGATGTTTTCCAACCCCCAAAACTTGAGGTGCGGAGGAAGGAAATATTCCTAATTCTGAACGAACCGCCACTGGCTCCATCTGCCTCCCTGTCCAGTCTGACCAGTTTCCCTGTCCTGACTGAGCTCTGCCATTTTGGCCAGAGTCCCATTTCAACTTTTCGTTGCTTTATAGATTCATTTCAAGCATTTCAATGCATCAAACAAATCGAAAGCGTGGCAAATGAACACCAGGTGTTTTCTAAGTGAGTAAGAATCTGAAATTCAGTTGGAGTAAGGGAACAAAAGATGTTATCATGCGGTTCATAGCGATTTGAATTCATTTCCATGTACTTTGTCTTTCCAGGTGCTAGTTCTCTCACTAGAAGATACATCTTCATTGACAGAAACGTCATTTGGGATCAATATTTCCATCCTCTGTACATAGATAACTTCCTGCATTCATCCCACCAGAGGCCAGTTTTTCTTCTCCAAGCTGCTCTTCATTATTTATCAAAGAAAAAGGATCAGCCTTTGATCCTGGCTGCTGCTTGTTTTGGACCAAAGTCGACTCAGTCTTTCATATTCTCATGTGAAGTTTGGACAATGTACCTAAACTACAGAACACAGAAGACGTCTATTTAAACTTTTTTATATATATTTTTTTTACCAGTTGTTAACACAAAGACAATGAATAATGTACAGTCAGCAATGTGTGTATTTTTAAAGATTTATTTAATTGATAATGAATTCAATGAATAAAGATAAATGTAAACAACAGTGATTCTCTATGGTCTTTATCTGAGTGTCCGTAAACACTCTGAGACATTAAGAGTATTTAGACAACCCTTAAGCTTTTTCACATGTTACACCTCATGTAATAACACCAAACTTTAATGCATGCTTGTGATTTGATGTGATACGCTAGCAGAAGGTGGGCACAATTGAAAATAGATGAAAGGATTCATAGTTTTCAAATTCTTACCAGTTTAGCACATGTAGGAGGACTGCAATTTTTGCTAATTTTTATATGCTGACAAGCTCAAATCTAATCAGATCAGATTAATAACCTCAATGTCTTGCCACATATTCCAAGTTAGATTTAGGCTTTGACTTTGACTGGGTTAGTCTCCATGTTCAAAACGTCGGATATTGTTTTGTCCTGGCTGATTTGTTGCTTTGTCTTGATGTGTTGTGCTCACTTATGTTGTCTAACAAAACTTTTGACACCTTCACAGAAAAGTCACATTTAAACTGAGCAGTCGTAGCTCGACCAAGAGGAGTGGATACTTTTGTGAAGCACTTGGTTGCTGCTTTCCATAGGTTTAAAAAGCATTCTCAGTCATTAGCACAAACGTGAAATGCTACAGATGTGGTTAGATTTAACAGCAAGGATGTGTCTAAATCAGCATCACAACAGAGAGAACTTGGTATAGTTTTTTTTTTTTTTTTTTTTTGTCAAAGTCAAGCCATTGTTTGATTTTCTGTTTGCAAATGTGGCATCAGTTTAAACTTAAAGAGATTTTGAATATGAAAGACTTTTTCTTTGCAGAGTACGCATTCATAATTTGATAATAAGTCTGCAGTCTTATCCTCAGCGTAAAGATATGCATAAAGGTCAAGGCGTACACGTGTTGCCTCCTTGTTTTATGGGCAAAGTAAAACAGAGCTTTATTTACTCGACGGGACACGCTGCAGCAGAGAAGACTAGTAGCTCTGCTTGGGTTAGTGCCAGGCCAAGCACTTATGTATAATACACCAGACGGTCTCACGTCACTGTGCTCTACGTTGCCTGCTCTGTATACAGTTCAAATCCCGATGGTAAGACAAACACGTAGTCCTTAACTTGCCACACATTTGGCTGCGGTCACGTTTTTCAGCTGCTGACGGCTCCAGCCAATCAGAGACCCGGAGTGCGGTCACATGGGAAGGGGTGGCGGCCAAAACAATGTGACGTACCGGATGCTCCTGACGTGGCCACGCCCTCAAGCACCAAATATGGATTCACAGCTGAACTAAAAATATATTATTTTATCCCGTTTTGAGTTTTAATAATTAAAAAAGGTGGACTAAAGAAGTGGAAACATTTTGCTATTATTAACAAATTATTCGTTTTGAAACAAACAGGACAGTTAGAGAGCGTCTCCGGTCGACTGTCGCCACCGTGCTCCGCATGTGAGCTAGAGGGCGGGGGAGGAGCGCTGGGTCCCGTGTACTGCACCGTGGAACAGACAGTGAAGCTGGGCGCTGCAGTTAACCACCGTAGTGAGGAAGAAAAAAAAGGTCAGCCGTAACTTCAACCCGAAAGAAGTTTCCTATTTTGGTGTTTTTCATACCGCCTCTTTGGAAGAACATCTCTACTAAAAGTACGTGTGTTGTTTTGTTTTCTCTGTTGTGTTTTTCAACATTTTAGACGACTGTCACTTCGTGGGAGTCGTCCCTCATTAGCATGTCTTAGCCTCTACACTGTTAGCTTTAAGTCGCTCACTACAGTTCCGCGAAAAAATAATGCTGTCGACTTTTTCCGCTTTATTAAATGCTGATTTGTTTGTCCTTGTTAAGTCACAAACATGGAGTTTCACACCGGTTGGTAATTTACGTATGTGAAGTTTGGTTTTCTGCCAACGTTTACACTACCATCAGGCCTAGTGAAGACTAAAGACGAGCGTCAAACTTGTGTCCACTTTCATACGTCAATGTCGGATTATCCAGAAAATATCTATAAATTAAATAAGGGTTTAATTCTTCCTACATGAACAGTGCCTTGCTTGCGTATTCATTCCTTTTGAACTTTTTCATATTGTGTCACGGTACAACGTTTTATTTGATGTATCAAGACACAATTTTCAAAGAAAAAGTGGGTACATTGTGTTAAAAAATGTATTTAGAAAAAAAACATCTTTTCACCCTGATACCTCTAAATAAAATCCGGAATCCGAGAAGCAACTAGGAGCTTTGCAGCAGCTTTGGAGGAACTGCAGAGATCCTCAGCTCAGCTAGAAACAATCGGAGACAACAACAACAATTTGTGCATTCCACAAACCTGAAACCTTCTGACATGCCTTTGAGCTCTAAAAATGTTTGGAAAAATGATACATTCCCACTAAGGAGTGTGATATTGACAACATCACGCTGTAGTGACGTAGAAAACCTGTTATATCTGGCAGAATAGTTGAGGCAGGGCCAAGGTACACTTTCCAGCAGAGTAAACATCCAGCTAGAAATGGGTTCAATCAAAGCATGTTCATGTGTGAAGAGTCGCCCAGACTAAGTCTAGACTTGAAAAGTGCTACTCGGATCCATCAAACCTGACTTTGCTTCAGCTAGTTTGCTAACAAAAGGGGTAAATATGTGAGATACAGGCAGAGACATACTGCTAAAGAATAGCATCTGTAATAGTAAATGGCTGCATGTTTTTGCAAAAACATTGCTTCTTATTTATGCTTTAAGTTGCTGGCATGTCTTGTATAATGACAAGCGTGTAAAAAGTTAGAGGAGTTACACCAGTTGCAATAACCAATAAATCAATTAATTGCATTATAAAGTGAGGTCAGTAATTTCTATTCTGATGATAGACTTCATAATCTATTTCATTTATGGTGTGTGTGGTTTTTCTTTTTTCTTTTTTATTTATTGTTCTGTGATTTATGTTTTTTGGCTGTCTAAATTATCTTCTGGTTCCAATTCAGTATGTCTCTTGAAAATGATCTCAAAATAACAATATTATTGTTTATTGTAATAATTTCCTTTACAGTTTATCGTTCAGCAAAATTATTTATTTATCGAGACAGACGTAGCATTGCTACCTTAGCAGCTCACTCTAAATGGAGATGATAAGGTAAAGCGATCCCAACTGAGCATGGAAGAAAGTATTTGTAGTATTTTTAGTTTGTTGCTTAGTTGTAACCACCGATATTTACATGCAACTTTTAAATGTTCCTGCATGTGTTTTTAGCTACTTGCCACAGTGTCATGTGCTGCCTGTTTGAAAAGAGGGTCTATTGTTTTGTCCGCAGCTTTAGCGTTTGATATGCTGAACTAGTTTTGTCGGAGCTTGTGGACAAGAGGACAGTGAAGAAGATGAGCACCAAGAGGAAGGCCGAGAGTCTCCTGAGGGCGGCAAACCGACCTTGCATCATGAAGTGCAGAGGCTCCCAACTGGATTCAGAAAGAGACTCCGGATTCTCAGGTTCTGTCCCCGAGCCGTAGGGCGTGTTGAGGAAAACTCCAGGCGTCCCAGTGGAACCACAGCTAACCTCTCTGTCTGCCCTACAGATGCCAGCTCAGAACACCTGAGCACCATGGACACCACGGACTCTGAGGATTCTCCTCAGCCCGGAGGGCGGCAAGCGGCAAAGGCTACTGGTTCAGGCCCAAAGCCCTCCCCGCTGGCCGTGGTTGGAGGCTCCTACTCCAGACTTTCGCCTATGATCATAATGAACAACGTTGTGCTGAAGCAGGTAACGGGATGAAACCTCTGATCTGAAATCTGAAACTTCTGTAGGGCTGAAGCAAGCGATTATTTTAATAATTAACTGACTATTCTATCAATTAATCAGATAGAAAAATTGGCACATTCTGCTGATTTTTTATTTATTTAACCACTTAGACTTATTTAATCCATTATTGGAATTACATGAAAAATACCAATAAACACATAATTGTCTAAAATGCAATGACGGCATTCTTTTAGTGAACACTTGGTCATCTGTAGCAAAAGAGGCATCTGCATCTATAAAAAACATCAACTTATGAAAATCTCTGCTTGACTTTAACATCAATACAGTGTAGGGCTGATCTGTTGAGTATTTATTGATTAGCTGGATAGCAAAAGGAGATTTTTTCCCCCCAGATTGTTAACCAGATAAAGGTAAAACGACGCCTCCTATATATACATATTTGTACAGTTTTGGCTTAATTACTGCTCTAAATGTGATGTTCTAATGGCCTTTATTGAGTTTTTATAATCCAGTTAATAATCGATTAATCAATTACTATTTCAATTGACAATTATTTCAGTAATTTATCACAATTAATCCAAATAATCTTCTGAAACTTTTATGTTCTTAATACTTCTCTGCAGGTTTCAATTTTGATATTCAGATCAACTCTTATGTTTTTGTTTTATATTGGCTTTTGAGTGACTTTGAGAGCTCTTAAAGACAAAATGTATTAAAATAAAAACTTTTTATTATAGTTTAGCAGTAGCATGAATGCTCGGCACCCCGAGGTTCAACGTAAGAGTCGACTAAATATTACATCCAAGTAGTCCTTTGCAAATGCAATATCAGTTATAATAACACTGGGACGACTGTTTGATATACTGTCAAACATTTCTGAGATGGATTTTGAGGTAGTAGAAAGAACAGAGATGTCGATGTCGCACACGGAAAATGTACTTATAAAATTTTACTAATTTAATTCCAGTTTGCTGAAATGAATGTGATCAAAATTATTGGAGCTGTTCGGAGGAACAGAAGCCACTTGGAGTCAGAAACATGTTGAGTTTGATGATGTGTCTTTACACTGGTTTTATTGAAATATCCTAAACGGGTTATTCGTCCCCAAAGATCATCTGGTTTAATTTAGCATTTAAAGATTTTGAAATGAAATGAAGAGTAAAAAGGGGATCTGTGTGTAAACCTGTCGCCCTCCTTCCTCTGCAGCCTGTGGAGAACCCGCCCTCTCTGAAGCCGTGGGGCTTCAGCCCCGCTGTGGAAGTGGTGCAGCCCGTGGTGCCGCAGCCGCAGGTGGTCTTTCTGCAGCCGGTGGTCTCCCGCCAAGCCTCCAAGGAGGCCGCCTCCAAGCACAGACGCTCTAAAAAGTATCTTCCAATCTTAAAGTCCTACCCTAAGATCGCCCCTCATCCTGGGGACAGCTCTTCTTCCTCAGGAAGAGGAACCGCTTCTTCTTCTTCCTCCACCACCTCCTCTTCATCGGGATCAGAGAAATGTAGCTCGTTGACCTCCAACCTTTGGGAACAATGTCCAAGGGAGAAGGTGCAGAGATCTCTGTGTAGCAGCACCAGCAACTCCGGAGCTGCTTCCCCCAGTCTTCCTGGTACTCCCAGTACTCCCAGCACCATGTCCCCGCTGCTCCAGAGCAGACTCTCCCTGCCCGCAGCAGAAACCAGCAGTGGCGACGCGGAGAGGCCTTTGTCGGCTTCCGACGCCCTGCCCTTCGGTCACTCCAAGAACCAGGCGCTCACGCTGGACAGCATCTCCTCTCTGGAGTGCAGCGTGAGCGACGGCAACCCGGACACCAAGAGGAAGCGCTTCTGCAACACATACAACATCCTGAGCAAGTCGGGCCTGCTGGACATCACGCTCCGCACCAAGGAGCTCCTCCGGCAGAACCAAAGCACACAGAACGAGCTGGACCGGCTGAAGAAGCACACGGACCTGTTCCTCCAGGCGCTGCAGAGCGAGGACACCAGCGCCTGCATGAAGCTGCTCACCAATCTCCAGGAGGAGGACAGGGACAGAGCTGCTCAGCTGTGAGCTTGTAGACTCAGAGGAAGACCAGGAACTGCGGGGGAGGGAAGGCGGGTGAGGCACGGCGGGGCAGATGGGCTGAAAGTAATGCGCTCTACATTAGTGACTCCTCCCCCAGACGCACAGACACACTGTGGCCTACATTTCAGCAGTCATTTGCCTTCAGGTCGCTTCCTGATGCACCAAACTAACCTAAAAATCATCAAAGCACTTGTCCGCTTGCACACTACTTATACAATGTTCAGTAACACTGTAGCTGGATCCCGCAAATTTCTTTCACTAATACATCTGAGGAACAGATTCGGTCCAAAGTCTTCTTGCAATGCACAAAAAGAACTTCAAATATATTTAGTTCATTAAAGCATCAACAAACGTTAATTACTACAGACTCCAAAACTCAACTTTCTAGAACCTTTTTATCTAACCAGGCTGTAAAAGGATTAATTTAAACTATGTGCTAATAAACTGGATTGTGCTTATTAGGGATGCACCGATCCACTTTTTTCACTTCCGATACAGATGCAGATATGAGATTTAGTCGATACCGTTCTGTTACAGAAAAACAGCTGAATTGACTTAAAACATTTCTTTCTTTTAAACACAGACATAAATGTACTGAATTACAACTTTATTAGATAACTCTGTACCAGCACAGCGCACATAAATACACCAATAGCTTCATAATCTTGGTCAAACATGTAAAAACAACTTTAATTTGTTCAATTAGTGCAATTAGGAGTATAACTGATGATGTAAAATAAAATAAAGAAACTTATACAATAGGTTGACTACCTTGGTCAAACAGGTAAATATAAATTGTAACAAACCTTTTTTTTCTCTAATGGTTCAGAAAGTGCAACTAGGAATTCTAAAATATAGTGTGAAATTAATCTAACATGATGTTGCTCAGAGCACAAAACATAGAATTAGACTGAATAGATCTACCATTAAGGATTAGACACATTTTCACTGATTTCTTTTCCATAGCGGACCAATACAAATATTAATAAGGGATCAGTTCATCTCTAGTGTTTATAGATTATGTCCCCTACTGCTAAGTTGTGCCTCCTTCTGCAGAGATGGTCATAAATGCAGTGTTTTTTTTTTTTTTAACTTTACATTTTTTAAAGATTAACAAACTTTTACAGCTCTAATCATTTTCATCTGAATGCCAGAATATAAATGATGGAGGATATTGCAGCTTTTATGAGTTAAAATCTCTTTTTTTTAAAAGGCTTTGAGAAGAGCTTCACTTGGTCTTTGTCTCCATGGAGACGCTTAAAGAGGAAGTCCACGCTTCCAGTGATTACATTTTTCCACGTGTTAGTGGATTTTATCAATGTATTTGAATTAGCGTTCTGTAAAACACTTAAGTTGTTTTGAGTCAGATGTTGTTTCCAATCAAAACTACAGAAGTTGACTGAAAATGTGAACTTAAAGGAGCGAAAACTGAGAGACGACCGAGTAAAAATGCTGGAAATATTCAGTTGGTATGAAACGATTAGCAAAATCTGCAGTGAACATAAAGGGAGAGGAAAAACTAACTCAGAAACACCCGATATTCTGATAACAGGCCATCTTGTTGCATTTTCTCTCATTCATTTGACTTTCTAAACATGACTCCACAGGTGTGCTTCACTGACTCCATGTACAAACGTTTGAGCATGTTGAAAATATTACGAGCATTTTGCCTGTTTGTAGCATAAAACAGCCAAACGTGCATAAAGTGTACTTATCCTCTGCTTGTCAGGAGGTTCTGTTTTAGCTGTTTTATGTGTTTTAGTTTTGTGTCCTCATCAGGTTGGCAGGCATTCATGCTCAAGTTCACTGGAGAAAAAAAGCGTTAATAACCAGTTAGATTCCTCTGTGATGAAGGTTCATTGTCTTGGAGTTAAAACGTGTTTATCAGTCACTTCTGGGTCTGTTCTCTTTTCAGCTTTATTGTTTTTAAATATTCAGAACAGTGTAATGTAAGGTGACTGAGTCGTCTGTTTTTGTGTTGTCTTTTTCTTCTGCATTTTATTTTTTTTGTATGTATATTTTTTTAAAAGTGTATTTAAATTCATTTTTGTTCAAAATGAGAGAAGTATTAAGGCAACTACTGATGAAAGCCAGTAGTTTTCAACCTCTTCAATCCAGTTTTTTTTTTTTTTTACTCTAAATTTAAATTTGTTTTTAATAGATCATGGCCTTAAAATTTTAATTATGTGTAAGTTGAAGAAGAAATCTGCACTAAAATCTAAGAAAAGCTTTGAACCAATTTGTGGCAGAATTAAATGGTAGCTGTGGCGCTGTTGCTTATTTAAGACGAACATCTTTTTTACTTTTTTATTTTTACACTATAGGTGCATTACCAGACATTACAACTGCACAGCCTGAAGGGTGTGGTGATTTTTATTTTTATTTTATTTTATTTAGCTAATTGTAATCACAGTTTGATATTTGTTGCTTATACTGAGATAAAGTGGTCCATATTTAACATCACAAGTAAAATGTGAGTTTTGTAATATTGCCATCTAAACTGCTGTAAATAGAAAAAATATTGTTTGTGATGGAGAATGTGAGAAGACATTTTTTCAAAGCTCGAAAGTCATTTTTATTTGTAAATTACACATTTTATGCCATTTTAATTACTTTTTTTTTTTTTTTTTTTGCTTTAATAGACGCGTCAATAACTCTGTTCTCCACACTGTCATTTAATATACGAGGCACAGTTCACACTATGAATTTTTTTTAAATTAAATATAAAGTATTTAATATTAAATATAAAGTGGACAAAATCGATTCAACGTGAGCAAAGAGGAGCTTTGTGTTAAAGATACTGAAAGTCATCATCACTCCTCCCATTGTTTCTCACTGCAGTGCACCGTTTCCACCATCAGCAGACAGGCTTTATGCTGTCCCGTCTTTAACGTTTCACAGTCTGTCCCAATATTACATCTGTTGATCTGAATTGAGTTGATGGATATCTGGAAAACGTCGTGAGTTGAAAGGTTTTCACCTTCTGACACAAAGACTCACCAATGCAAACTTTTTTTGTTTTCCTTTCTGATACCATTTACTTGTCTGGTATTTGACAACAAACAGTCCTGCAGGTGCTGCCTGACCTTTGACTCTGCTGCTCTAAAAGGCCACAGCTTAGATTGTTTTTTCCCCTCTCTAAACTAAATCAAATTTCTCATTTGTCATTTATTCTCTTTAAAGCCTTAAAATGTCCAAGGTAGAGACGTAAAGCTTTTCCTTTTGTGAAAACATAAACGGGTTTCACAATTTCAGCTTAGCTCAAATGGCTAATTTGTAGAATGTTTCTGAGATGGAGATGAATAATCTAATTTAATTTACTTTATATAGTTTGATGGCCTTCAGCTGACTCAAAATCTTCCAGTTGGGATACAGTATATGTGCTCTTGCAATTTAACGAATAACACTAGTAGTCAAAAGATTGTTGTGGTCGTATTTGGTAATGAGAATTTGCAATGTCAGCTTCCAAAAATGTTGTTTTCATGTACAATGGGATACTTTGAAGTATGTTTGAAAATTGGCAGCTTTAAATTCTTTTGTCTGTGTATTTTTAAAATGTGAAGAATTGGGATTGTTCATTAAAAATGCACGAATGGCGATGTAGATACTGCGAGCTAACATTTTTTAAAGGTGTAAATAAATTTAATCGAGTCATTCTGACTTGCAAGCAATAAGTTCTTGTTTTATAACATTTGTGGGTGGTGAACATAGAAAACTGACTAAGTCATAACTTTGAATGGGTTTTAATGTGAACTCACTTCAATAAGACTGAGTTATGGTTTGGGTCAATATCCTGTTTTGTTTTGTATGTTTACATTTAGGATGTAATTGCCTGTGTAATAAATATTATTTAAAAAATATATATCCTGATGAGAACGGTTTCTTATTTGATCCATTATTTTTTCTAGATTTTTCTAAATATTAAAAAAGAGGTGCAACCAGTTGCTAAATTGCAAACTACAAATATCTAAATACATTTATTTTTCTCTCTGCCCGTACTTGAATTTACACATTTGACCGCTGGATGGCGATAGTGAGATGCAAGAGTTTTGCGCGGATGAGCTGGAACATTGTACCTCTGGAGCCTCCGTAGATCAAAGCTTCCTTCTGTTTTGAGAAAATTCTTAAGCTATTTGGTTGTGTCGCAGTTGCAGCGCTATCGCTATGAGGAGCGGGTAGCTTTCTGGCACTTAAGAGTTAAAATAGTTAAGCAGACAGTCAGTCGGTGGCCATGTTTCACATGATAAGGTAGCTGTTTTTTGGAGACTTAGCCCCGGATAGCTAGTTTTCTCCTGCTAGCCAAGCTAACAAGGTAACTTGTCAGTTTTATCCAGCGCGGTTTTCAATAAACACCGCCGTGGCTTCCTCTCGCCATCAGTTTTGCTGTTGTTAATTTATAACTTTGAGTGTATGAAGCTGTTTATTGTTGCTGGTCGTGGGATGAGTTTGACTCAGAGATGACCTACAGCTGCTGACCCACAGGAAGTCTCACCCTTTCACGGTAAGAATCAAGCTTCGCTCTGTCCCTCTATCTGAGCTGATCTCATGCTTACAGTCACTATGTCGGCTGATCTGTTCCTGTTGTATTTGTATTAAACAGCTGAGAGCTTCACACAGGCTGACTCATGCTTTCTGATGAGCTGGACTCTAAACCAGAGGTGGGTAGAAGCTAGCTTTGTCATTTACACAGACTGAAGGGAGTGTTGAAGAAGTACGTCAAACTGTAACAGCCAAGCTTACAGAGTGACATTATTGTACTATCATCATGATGGAGATGTTTGTTTTTGTCTTGTCAGCTGCTGGTGCAGTTTGTCCAGAATGCCTCCATCCCATTGGTGCAGAGTCTGGAGGACTCGGAGTCCAAACACTCCTGCCTGCCTCTGCTGGCCCCAGCTGACAGCTCCCTGTGCTCTCCTCTGGAGCTCACAGGTTGGTTCACAGTGCTGCCTCATTGTCGGACATCTTGTTTACATTACACTAAAAGGGGACATGGCATGCTGCAAAGTTTACTGCTGTTGTCAATTAAATACTCTGTTTATGCTTCCCCAAATCTGGAAACATAGACTTTAACCAGGTTGTGTTGGTTTGTTTTGTGTTGTCCCATTAATACTTAACTTTTTTTTCCCTTACTCTAAAATAGATTATAATGCACAAAAAAAGGACAAATAAAAGCACGCACATATTTCTATCATCCTGACACTCGTGTCAAACATATTCTGTGTATTGAAAAAAAAATCAGAGCTGAAATAGACAAAATGTTTTAGCAAATACACAGAGATGCACTCGTAAAGCTTTAGCTGGCATATGCCCATTTCTATTTTTATTTAATTTATTTTTTAACATTTCAGATGTTTTTAACTATTCAGATGTTCTTTTTTAAATAATTATAATCACTGCATAATAATGTTAAATGAAGGTAGAGAACTGTTTTCTCTAGTAACGACTAAGAGCATATAAATTTAATTTCATAATCCTCATAACAGTTGTTCTGCAATCTTCACATTCAACAACATTATGTATGAAATAATTTAACTTATTTATCCTTTATAATGCCTTGTTTGTTTTTGTTGTGTTAGCAATTGGTAGTCATTTCTTTCTTTTATTTTTTCTTCTCTTGATAACCAAAACAGGTGTAAACATAGTAAGCACTAAAATGTCACACTTTACACCTGGAATAGATTTTTGTATCTGTTTAAAATAAATGCAAAAATAATTCAACAAGTTTTCTAAATGGTAACTGAATATTTTTATCTTCTATTTCAACTGTATGTTCAGTTTGCACTGGTACAAAAAGAAAACAAACAATCATATAACCAGAGTTAAATCACAACTAGGAAACACTTTAACTTAAATGTAGTTTTTAAATCTGACACTTTGAGGGGAATCCAGCCACTTTGACTCGGGTCACTGAGGCAAATTGATCCAGTAAATTTCTAGGATCACAACAAACTCATTTCCTCCCACTTTTCTGTTCAACTTCAACAGAGCAGCTGCTCTGCGACTTTGTTTTTTGTGGAACTTCAAATCGTTCTGCTGCTGGCTTTTAGAAAAGTAATTGTTTCTGTCGACGCTTTATAAACCACCAGCACGCTTTGGAGAATTATCCTCGACTGCAGCAAACGAAGCCGGTGCAGTGTGGCCGCTCTGCAGTAGTGATGAGGGTCTGACGGTGCAAGAGGAAAAAGGAAAATCTGCTCAAACACGCAGCTTTTTTTGTTGTATCTGTTTTAGTGAATCGGAGAGAGAGAAAAAAAAGGCTTGTTTTTCTCTAGTAGGAAGCTGCAGTCGTGGTTGGTCTGCTTGTGGATCTCCTCGTTTCACCACGTCCCTGCAGCACTGCTGCATTGCTTACGCCCAATTATTCACATCGGCTTCTTCTGGCTCTGCTTGGTCTAATGAGCTGTTGGAGAGAGAGAAGCGCAGAATCGGGCTGGGGTGTATTCAGCGACTCCTAACTTGGCTTAAACCCCCGAACACCACATTAATAGTTTGCATTCTCGAACCTTTATAACATTAACGTAGTAGTTTTATTAAAACATGACATTCTTATGGTGTTACAACCGAGAATAATCAAATATTTATGATTAACGTAGTTAAAAATACAGTCAACTATACTATGGTTATAAGCTAAGAGAGATAAAATCTTCTTGGCTCTGATAGTTTTATACATCTGTGTTTTTTTTGTGTGTTTTTTTTTTGTTTTTTTATGAAGCTGCCTCTTCAATGTGTTAACAGCCTCCCTCGTCCCAGAGGTAGTCGTATTATTTTAAAGCCACACAAAGTAAAGCTACAAGCAGAGACTGTAATTAAATAAGACGGGCAACATCTTCTAAAGAACTACATATTTGGAACAGTTTGTCACCAGGAATTGTTGACTAATTTATTTTTCTTAGATCCCAGATGAAAAGAAATTGCTTGGAAAAAATCTAATCTGTGCGCTGTGAAGTCTAGCTCAGAATGATCAGAGACGTCATAGATTTAATCTTTTAGTTTTGTCAGCATGTTTCTTCTGACGGGAAGTAAACTCAGCTAGGGCTGCGTGATAAATCATAGTTAACTCTGGTATCGGCTGATGGCAAAGACCTGGAGCTAATCCCAGCATTTGATGATTTCTCCACTGGTGTCCACTGGTATTTTGAGCAGCTTAGCAAGAATAAGACGAGTTTAATTGCAAAGGTTTCTCTCGTCACTTCCTTAATTCCTATTAAGGAAGTGGAAAATCAGCCACTGTCCCGTTTCGTTCTGCTGTGAGAGAGAGCAGCTAACAGTCGTCACCCCACTACTGCCAACTTAGCAAATTAGCAAACTGTCACTTTATTTAGCAACTTTTCAGACAAAAAAAAAAAAAAATGGCGTCAGCCAAAATCAGAATCAGGGTTTTCAAAGATCAGTGATCGGCCAGAAAACTGAAATCTGTTCAACCCAACTCTTCAGAACCTTTGTGTGTGATTTTCTAATGCCACTATATTTACTTTTGTACATAATATTATCCCTTTATGTTGTAACACAAGTGGAACAAGCTGACATTAGCTGGTTATTTAGCTGGTGTTTCTGTTCAGAAGTAGCCTCCTTCTGAACAGAAACATTCGTTTGAAACATTCGTTTTTAATTGAACGTTTAAAGAGCGATGGCGGCGCTCGTTTTGTTTCCACTCAGTTTCCGTCTCCACTCTTTGAAACTGGGAATATTTCATTCAAGTACTGGAAGCTAGGTGGTATATAATGATTTTTTTTTTCTTTTTCACAAATACATTGCTTCAGTTTCCATAGCACAGAGTAAGGTTTGGCTTGTCTTATTCTTTGAATTCAGGTCAACTCAAAGATGAGATGGTTGGAATGAAACCCGGGTTTTTGAGCACATTCGCTCATTCAGTGATTAAAATTGAATCAGATTTTATTTTTAATCCACATCGCTTTTATTTGTTGTTAAACCGTTTCCCAGATGGAGGCCTGAGCCACGAGCCGGACAGTTCTTCCTCGCTGCCGGAGTTCGGCGGTGTGCCGCAGCAAAGCCCGCTGGTGGTCCAGTCCCACGCTCAGCCTCCGGCGCCGCAGAGCCCCCCCGCTATGCTGCACGACCTGCAGCAGCCCGACAGCACCTCCTACGTCCTGCTGAACCTCGCCAAAGGTAGAAACACCCAGAGCATCGCTCACTGCACCGACCGGTTAATTAGTTATTTACTCATATCGTTTCCTGGTCGACTCCCAGCTGCTGCATCTCTGGACTTTTAGCGAAGGGGGAAAAAAACGAGAAAGTTCAGTTCTGAGACTGACTGTGAATTTATCATCTGAGGCTCAAACAGGTAATTAAAAATGAACAAGAGAATACATAATGAAAGGAATCCTTGGCTGCGGTCCACATCCAGCATAAATAAGTTTCACTGAAGAGGCTCCAATCTGAGCTCGTTTCTGTTCTTCGTGTTCTCAGCGCAGCAATGAAACGAGGTGACACATTTTGCGCTTTAAAAAAAAAAAGGAAGAAATTTGGCGAGAAAGAATGAGCTCTTAAAGTTCATTAGCCCGTCGCGGGAGAGTTTTTTCACTTGTGTGTGTGTGTGTGTGTGTTCTGATTTAAATGTAGAGCTCTGACCTAGAAGGATACCAAACTCTGATTTGTGGTTTTTTTTTATTTCTTTTTTTATTCTCCTCTCACCTCAGGCATCACAGCCTCCTCCGAGTCTCTGATCTTTGCCGCCGACGGCGCCGTGGACGACGAAGATGAGGGCGTCTCGTCGGGAGACTACGGGATGGACGGCAGCGCCCCGTGGTACCTGAGGGTCCAGGAGCTGGCGCACGACAGCCTGATTGCGGCGACGCGGGCGCAGCTCGCGCGAGACGCCAAGGCCAACCAGGACGCC